CATTTCTTATAACATATTAAATCCTGGCATAACAAGCTTAGCATCAATCTAAAAAAAAATGGCAGGATATGCATAAATCAATTCAAACGCATTTGTGGAAACTATCAAGTTTATATATATACGAAAACAAAATGCCCATTCATTGGTATGTGGTCGGATCGTAGCCTCTTAGCCTCGCTTGACCTCGTACGTCCTTGGGATAATTTTAACCTATATGTGAAATAAGTAAACTAATAAATTACATAGGACATATTCAAAAAGGCTAGGTAAATCTCCCATACTTTGCTCAAACGAAAAGTTTGAATATACGAAAATGATATACACGAAGTCACGGACCCATACGTGTCAAGCACTCACGGGCCATAGGCCGGACTCGCCCTCACGCACCACCTAGCCCACGGCCACACACGCGCCCACGTGCAAGCCACACACCTGACAAAGACTGACAGACGTTAGGAATATTCCGTCAGAATTGACAGAATATTTCGTTAAATAGTAATGGTGTTACCTGATGCTGTTAGAATATTCTGTCAACTTTGACGGAATATTCTTCATCTTCTCTGGTGAGCTTCGCTATCCAGTGCCGCTGTCTGGTTTGCCGGTTTCTAGAAATTCTCGCCGGAAACTGGGAAAAATTTCAAAATTTCAAAGTTTCATATCTTCTTCATTTCTCAACCATTTTTAACAAACTTTATATGGATTTGAAGCTCTTGAGGAGTAGAACAATTCTAAACCTTTTGGAAGTCCAAAAATGGACAGGAAATGGCCTAAAAATGCTATGAAAGTCTCGGCCTAAAACTCGACTCCTCGAACTTGCTTGGTTCAATGTCAACTCCACTCCAAACCTAGTCTAGAAACCCTAGGGAGTTGTGTAGAAGCTTCCCTCCGTCCTAAAACCTTGTAACTCAGCGTGAAACTCATTGGAGGAAAGCTCACCAAGTCGGACCTTCCGAGTTGGCGAGTCAAAACTTGGTCATTTCACTATCGGCTAGTACGGCTGCGTTCGTGGGTTCGAGAGGAGTACAATGGTGGAGTTTGTGAGCTCAATCTATGAAGTTTTGACGTCGTTCTAGAGGATTACAGGGAAAGGGAGAGTTTCGATGAGAGAGAATGAGAAAATAGAGAGAGAGTGAGGGAGCAGTTTCTGATTGGGAGAAAGGTCTGAGGAGTGGTTCTGATTAGGTGAAGGATTTTAGGGGAAAATGAGTGAATGTAAAGGATTTGAGGGAAATAATTTGATTGGTGAGGTGAAAGGAAGACATGGATCCCATTTAAAAAGGGGATAAAATATAGGGTTTGCACAAGTGAAATCCTATGAAATCTAACATACCCTATCAAAAACAATAGTTCCCTACACTGAAATAATTTGCACACTCGTGTACAATACCCACTGTTAATGTACTTTATTGTGCGTAACTTTTTCGTTACATCTCCGATTCGGGTCTAACTCACGCTCACGCATTCGTAACGATGAGTACTATTTAATTATGCTACTAGGAAAATAAAATAAACGCTAAATACTACATCCACATCACTTTGCCAACAAGGGCAGAAATGTCAATTTACACACTAGGGGAGAAATTACATAGAAAATTAGGGACAGGTCATCACATCACGTGCATCAAATCCTTACCACAAAAACACCTTCAATACATTCCCTCTTTTACCCAATAGGTTTTCATCCAAATCAATGCCACACTTGTATAAATAGGTTTTTCACACTTATTTGCCACAACCATTAATTTCATAGGAAAAAAAGGCATTCCACTTCTTAGATAGCCAAAAAATTCACAACACAAACATGTCTAAGTTCAAACATGAAACTGAGGGTTTTAACACCAAGTTCCAGAGGTGGTACAACGTGGAACCTCCTCCACTTCGAGGTCACCCATGGCAAATCTTACATCATCGTTTAGCTCTGTCAACGCGGAGATGCCGTTGGAAAATATACATCAGTCCGTAAGAGATGGGCGTCTCCAAGTATTGGAACCAAAAGAACTTGTGGACCTTAACGATAAAGCCAATGAAGCGCTCTACCGTGCAAGCAAGCAGAAAATGAAGGCTGACACGTCTCAAGAAATGGTCCCATTCCTAAATTTGAATTGTCACAAAAGCGTCATGGCCATATTGAATAATACAAGCGTTCCTAGGAGGGAAAGATCGAAATGGAGGAGGAACACAACAAGGGGTTTAAGGATTTTCGTCAGGTAGCGAAGGGAAAGGAATCGCGTCAATCACAATGGGATTCCTTGACAGTGAAGGAGGTCGAATCATTTAATAAAATTTGGTATCAGTGATCATTCGGTGAGGGTTATGCTTAATAGCTATGGTAGAATAAATTTGAAGGCATAGCCTAGCTTGTGGTTGACTTGTAATGTTTAATTATATGTTAAGCAATGTAATATAGTTGTCCAATGTATTTGCTAACTATTATATGATAAAAAAAAAAAACATGAGGACTATGTATCCTTGTTATCTTCAACGCTTACCATGTCCTAAACTACCTTAATACTGAAGAGTATCAAATATGTATATATGCAATATATACACTGTAAGTACATGATATGTACACTACATATACATGTTATGCACAAAACTAGAGGTCGGGCAGCAAGCTGCTTTTCATATTTATAAGACACTTTAACGGCATGCTATTGGTATAGTGGATACAATTAAAACAGAATCCACGACGATTACATATATAAGGTTACATTGACATGTAGTGCATACAATTGGCTTGGAATCCACAACGATCATATATATATAAGGTTACAGTGATAGTTTGCGAGTCTTGTTCGTATATCAACTACCACTTAACTGAGCACGTGGAAAACATAAAATTCGTTGTCGCTTATTTTGTGGACATGCATGACCCTTGACGTCTTCTAACCTTTTTCTTAATTTTGTTTTTAACTGAGGCCAGGCCATAACTAAGTTGTGGTGATACTCACTAAATTCCTGAGGCACAACATACGTGCATCATAACTAGTGAACATTTCCGTTTCTCATATTAAGTTATATCCTTGCATACCATTTGCACATAACGGAAAAATTTTCTCAAATTTCTACAATTTAACACTTGAAACAAAAATTGGAACATGCCCAGTATTCTAGCATGTCAAAAATAAAAAAATTTCCACAACCCATAACCCCTAACATGAAACACAAACCTTAACTGAACTTCTATGTATTAATTCATCTTACAAACAAACCCATATATTCCATAAATTATTGATATAGGAACTTGGAATTAAACACCCTACCTTACTATGCCTACCGAAGCTTCTGTTGCCGGAAAAAATAGAACTTTCTAGCCAAAATAGAAAATAAGGTACAAACGTCCTATGTTTAAGGATAGAAGAATTTGTTGTGTTTGGTTATGGAAGAATAACACATATAGCTCACAAATCTGAGCTCAAACCCAAAAACCCCAACCTCACTCTTATCACCTCTCTCTCGACATCCTTCTCTTCAAAATCAAAGCTCACACATCTGAGCTCAACCCAATAGTCCACAACTCATAGCTCTCTCTCTCTTGACATCCCCAACTTTGAAATTACAAAAAAAAAATGACACAATGAGTTGTGAGTTTTTACAATTTATATGTGAGTATTTTCTTCATTTCACTTTTGTGCATAGAAGCATGGAGTGTGAATGGTCGATTTGTCCTATTTTGATCCCAAGAGCAAAATCATCACCCATTTATGTCAATTTCCCTATTATCTTTATATTCAGTCAGACAACTTTCCAAATTTGAAAGTTTGAACGTCAATCTGTATTTTGATTGAAAATTTAATGCACAACAAATGTTATATTTTTATCTCCCAGATTGTTAAGGGTGAAAGAAAGGACTTATTTATTATTTAACTTTTGTTGTATTAATGTTTGCCCCCATATTTTGAATCTTGGTTCCGCCCTTAATGATAGTATCGTCATTAAGTTGAAGATTGGGTCCGGTAGCGGTATCATAATTTGGTTAAAGTTTGGTGACACCTGTAACTGTTTCTTTTTAATAAAAAAAAATTATAAAGAAACAGTTGCCCATGCCACCAAGCTTCAACATAATTACGATATTGCCATCACATTCAAACTTCAACTTATTTACAATCCTATCACCACTTCCTTGTTTGTCATTATTTTTAGTAGAAGTTCTTGAAGTGTTCATTAAAAATTTGTTTTGTAAAGCACTTTTCTCTTGCAGAAGAAAATGGTCTCTCTCCCCCGTTGCGCCACCTTCCTCCCTATGCTGTCGCCGGCAATCTCCCTGTACATGTAGCCGTCGGGCCGCTTCCCGTTTCTCCCTCTTTCTCCCCCTCTATCCCCGGAGAACTTGGTAGAGATGATATGACCTCCGATCTGAGTCCTCCCTCCCCATGGAGAGTAACAGAGGAGAGACCCCACAATTACTGATTACCTCCTAAATAGTTTTACACGACCTCCAATCTGAGGCCTTTCTTTCATAATTTTAAATTAACCGTACGTGTGTGCATGAACGTACTGTAGCCAATTTAACAAGAAACTAATGATATTCCAGAGTTTCATATTTGGAAATGTTTTAACCGTTAGATTTTAATTTTTGTATTTTTAAACGAAAATTCAACGGTTAAAATACTCGGAGGATCTAATCCTCCGGTGCACTGTAGAAAACACCAACAATTTAAACTGGATCCAAAAACGGGTAATAATTTGTATGTTTCCATGAGAGAAAAAACGCAGTCAGAGCATGGCTTAACTAATTGCAGTAGAATCTCCCTCAACCAGAACCTGGTCTACGTTGAATCTACCCCAACCTGAACCTGGTCTACATTCTTTCCTATGCAATTTGGGTCGCCATTTGAGAAAGCAGGGCATGCCTTAAAGCCTTAAACTAGGACAAATAACAACACGGTGTTTGGTCCATAAACATCGACCAGACGACATATCCATAAATGAGGTGCCTTCCTATCCTTATGCCTGATGGAGATGTAGTGTACAACGTATAAATGCTTCGGCATGAACACTAAAAAGAAACGATAAAGCATATTTGAACAGAAAAGATGTCAACAAAGATGTGCACAAACTTGCTCAACAGCATCTATAATACATTTCTTAAACAACATCAATTGAGGAGTGCAAATTGAAATACATGGGTGAGACAATAACTATATATGTAAATATAAAACTAATAATTAGCCAAACAAACCTCACAAGCTACCGTCCATTACTTTTCGAAAGAGTTCCTTTGGGGCTGCAATTAACAGAAAATTAAATTGATACCGTGTTGTTAAGAGAATGTGACTCCTATGCTAATTGATACCGAATTATCAAGTGGTATAAGTTAATCTTACCAGGCAACCCAGAGAACCTCTCAAACTGTTCATATGCCTGTCCAATGAACATCTCCAACCCACTAACAACTGTGGCCCCGGCCTCTTTCGCTTCTTTCAAGAGTCTGGTCATTTTGGGGGTGTAGACGGCATCAAAAACCAACGAGTAAGATCCCAGAGCATGCTGCGAAAACAGAAATCTATTAAATCTCTTTCTATGTAAATGTGGTGTAACTTTGTCAGTTGTAGAACATCAATAGAATATGGTGCAAGTTAACTTGGATTGGTAGCATGAGGTCCCAGGTTTGATGTTCCAAGACCATCATAGATGTATGGGTTCCCAGGTAAACTGAGCCAAAAAAAAACAAAAAAACTTCAAACTGATGAAACCCAAGGACCTAACTAGTCAATTTCCTTACTTCAAATCTATCGAGTCTGCCTCCTTTTACTTCATCAGATGGTAAACTTGAGATACTGTTTTTCCATAATTAATTTTTCACTCTGGTTGCCTTCAGGTAGATTATCTTGCTTAGCACAAAGACAGTCACTACCCAAAATACAATAGAACAACTATAGCATATACCATATAGACACATAACATAAAACCTATCCAGACAAAAATACAACCAAAACCAGGCGGCTAAAAACAAATAGCATCAACATTAAAGGCAAAACCATGACAAAGCAACCTCAGTTGAAATAGAGTTAAGATAGTCCAGAGCGACATTTTTGTCAACCAGCGGTATTTTGGTCGACAGGGCCATTGGCTGGTTAACTGGTCCAACTAAGCCAACCCACCGGTCAAAAACAGCTCTCCAATAAATAAAATACAAAAAACACAGAAGCTCAGTCCTAGAGGTTTTTCCATGTGCCAACCAATTTTTGTGGTTGAAACAGTAATTTACCCGAGTTGATCAAACCTTGGGTTTGACCCCAGTAACTTACCCCAGCAAACCCATCCTTTTAGAAATCTCACATCTGAAACACTGACAAAAATGCCTAACAAACGCTCTGGATGTGTGAAGGGTGGTTCCCCTCCTCTACAAATGTGGCAATAAAGAGCTCCTTTGTTAGCACTGATGCAGTGAACGTTTTTGGGTCTGCTTACCTCTCACATAGCTTAACAGAGTTCACACACTATAGATTTCATCCTTGTCACGTCAGATATACTATTTTAGGTATGAGTGAATATGTTGAATGAGGATTTATTTGGATGAATTTAAAAGCATGGGTTTCCTAAACTTCAGGTTTGTTATTAAATTGATAAAGAAGGAGATGGTACTTTCAGATTGGCAAATTTGATTACACTTAGCAATGTTGAACTGTGATACTCCATATTGTGCTAGCATGGTGAGTATGTACTAGTGTGTGTTTCCCAGATTTTGCTAGCGTGTGTTGAGTCCCACAACACTTACGTACTAGGTTGACGTGGGCTAAATAAGCAACGTCATTAGTGACTAGTCATTTTGTGATTTAATGCTAAGATGGTGTGAGCTTTCTTAGGTCAAGACATAAAAATTGACATCCAATGGAGGGTTAAGTGTTATAAAGAAAATGAGGAGCGAATCAAAGAACACCAAGACTAAAGACAAAAGATAACGCTGTTGACTTACACAGTTTTGTGTAAGAACACACTATTCTTGGCGCGCACAGCCTAGAATTGGAGTTTGGTTTAGAGGAACCTATAGATCTCTGTCATAACTTGCCTTGAACTGATGGTTATTAAAGAATTTAACACTTTCAAGTGCTGCCCATAATTTCTCAACATAATGATCATATCCCTTGTACACATGTTAAATATGATCAAGTATTTTAATACAAGGACAACCCATAATCAATAATTCAGCAAAATGGGAGGGCAGCAAACCTTAGAAATGGGTGTCTCATCAACTTTTGGTTGCATGCCAATAGATGTTGTATTTGCAAGAATCATCCCATCCTCTGGGTGGAAATTATCTAAATCAGCAAGAGACAAAGCATCTCCTCCAATTGTGTCTGCAAGTTCTCTGGCTCGATCTTTAACAAAATAAAAAATCAGTCTTAAGAACAAAAAATCACAGTGATGTTGCTTATATCAGGTTAAGGAAAAATGAAAATGGAGAAGAGAGGATAAGAAACAAAGCAACAAATGCTGTAGTTGACATGATATACCAATCCGAAGTACGGAAACGTCAAGCAAAACTTTCTCATGCAGCAGACTTCATGTCTAGAACATCAAAAAGCATGATAGAGCATGAATCTATACAGCAAATTACAATAAAGTACACTTCAACAATTGGGTAAAGCTTCAAATCTCATAATATTCATGTAAAATGGATTGATGTTTTTCTCAGGAGAAGATAGGAAAGGATGCAAGTTTAATCTGCTCAATGGTGTCATGTTAAATATGTGCATTTACCTCTAAGAGATTGGTTACATAAACTATATGATACCATTTACTCAAGATTTATCACTGCATGAAACTATAAAGTGAACGAAAATGTTTCAGATGACACCACCTGCTTAAATAAAGAAATTTCTCAACCAAATGAATCAAATCTTTATACCCAGATGAATGCACTCTAGCATTCCCGCCAAATATGACAAAGATGTACATCCTGGCAATCATCTAATCACCAGGGGTGAATCTCATTAGCAACCAGAGGAGGCACGTTCTGCCCACCCACCCCCCCCCCCCCAACCTCTTTTCTTTCTCTCTTCTCCCCTAAAGTTTTTGACCTGTAAAATGGTGGTCTGTGCAGGAACCAGGGCCCTGCTTAAATCGCAGCTGCCTTCTGTCGCTCCATATGACGTCATATCGGACTACAGTGAACAATAATCAACTCACCACCACCACCACCACCACCAACTGTATCACTCACTCCTCATCCAAAACCACCAGGAGGCAGATATAACAATAATGTCTAGTTGTAGAGTTGATTCTAGCAGCTCGCGAAAAAGAATTCCCTCCTTCCATGTGTTTAAATTTGACCTCCCAGCCCTATGCATATATAATTTATCTATTTGTTCACTTAACAATATTGACCCTAAAGATACAATTATAAAGGAACAAAGGTTGGAGATGTACACTAAGCACACAATGGGTATAAGTTGGCCAAGTGCTCGACAAAATGCCTCACTTGAAAAAAAAAAAAAAAAAAAATTGGCACTGCATGCGCTCTTTTTGGAATTCCATGAGGACTTGCACCTGCTATTGCTTCGTTGTGCCCCCATGAACGTTATTTCTAGCTTCGCCCCTGCTAATCACCAAAGGCGTCAACAATACTACCATTCCAGAAGTAAGCATTGAGCTTTTCTATCCTAAATTAAACTCCTAGGCAAACTTACCGAGCACTGAACTAAAATTGCATGGTAAGTCTGTTGGGTTTTACGGCTCAAAATTAGGATGATGCAAAGAATTAGGTTTGTGTTACCTATTTGGTTTAGGTGTCCTATTTGGGTTTGGATTTTGACTTCTTAGTTGGTTTCCTTGGTGGAGAGATTTTGTTAATTACCTATTTGATTAGGACTTGTATTTACTTCCTATTAGGATTCTTATCTTATTGTAACCTAAGTCCTATGCACTATAAATAGGACCTTAGGGTTAGTGTATTTTGTGTGCCTCACCATGGCTTAGAGAGTTTTCTCTAATTGGGTTTTGGGGTGGGTCACCGTTTGGAATCATGAGTGTGTGGCAAACGCATGGCTCATTCGTGTGGCAATTTGGTGAGAGTCAATTTATGGGATTTGGGTTGTGAGAGTTTAAACACTCTTTTGTAATCTCCGTTTGTTTAGTGAAATTTCTTGACATTGATATTGGTACTTTGTTAGAATTCGCTTTCGTTTGCGCATAAAAGTACATCAAAGTCCAGGTAGGCTATGAGAATATGCCACACAGAAAAATAAAAGAACATTGCGTTGTGCGCAAAGGGTTAAAGATTTAACATTGGAGACATATACACAAGAATATCTTAAATAACAAAATCATGTTAGTAAAATTAATCAAACTGATTACTCAAATGTGGGCTGGATACACATAAAATAATCACTTGAGTCAAATAAGAAAATTGAAATGATGGAGAACCATATAATCTTTTAGGCTTCAAAAAGGAAAAAGAAAGAGTGTTTCTTTTAGCTCTCTCAATTAGAAAGGATCTATCTTTGACAGCAAGCTCCTTCAAACCAATTTATCTTCATATTGTTTTTTGTATCCTTGGTTGCTTTTCCAAAGAATAAAATGTCCCTTCAACCAACTTTACTTATAATCTCAATTTTGATTTTCAAGAAAAAGAAAGATCGCAGTTGACATGCTGACATGCTGCATAAGTGGAGTTTTTTCTAATCGACCATGGGAAAGAGCAAACATGAGCATGGATAATATAAATTGACACAAAAAAAATGAATAACCGTTAACGAAATGCCATGACAAAATAGATCAAGAAAGCAGATAGCTTATGAGCTTATAAAAGATGGAACAAAAGAAAGTAAAACCAACCATAAGTGCGATTGGCAATTGCAATCCTTGCACCCTTCTGTTTTGCACCATAAGCAAGTGCCTTTCCAGCACCTCCAGCCCCAATAACAACAAACAGCCTACCAGCTAAAGGTGAAACATTTGAACTGCCATTATTATGTGAACCTGCAAAGTAAAAGTGGGAAGCCAGAACACATTAAAAAACAAAAAGATTCTTGTCAGAATAAAGAAAGAAGAAAAAACTTAGCTAGTACAACATAATAGTAACCTTTCAGTCCGTCTTCAATAGCTGAGATAGCCCCTACATAGTCCGTGTTGAACCCAAATAACTTCCCATCAGTTGGTCTCCGTATAATGCAATTAATAGCTCCTATGGCCTGAACATTTTAATAAAGATAAAAATCAATTATATGGATAGCATAAGTCAGAGGTATGCTAACTACTCAAATGGAGAATGGAAGCACCATAATATGAATGCTTTCTTCACTACTATGAATGCTTTCTTCACTACCTTTGCAACTGGATCAACTTCATCACAACACTTAAGTGCAGCTTCCTTGTGCGGAATTGTAACGCTGTGTTAGAAGTGAAGTGTATAAGATGGGATCATGATGTATAAGTAGCAAGAAAAAACTCTAAATAGATATGCTACAATTTTTATTTGACACTAGGGAAGAGAAATAGAAGATGAACCTGAAACCAGCAAAATCCACTGAAGAGTAAGTACGGAGAAAATTTGCAATGTCATCTACCAACAAATGTACATAAACTCCATTGAAACCTACTGACTTGAATGCTTTATTGTGCAATATAGGTGATTTGCTGTGGCTGACAGGCTTCCCAATAATGCCATACACTTTTGTGTCAGTCCCTATTTGCCTGAAATTGTATAGATGTAATATATCCTTCATAGTTGGTTGACCAGGAGCTGAAACTATTCCTGAGTCAAGCGTACCAAAAGTAAGATAACCACCAAATTTTGCGCAAAGGATCCGTGAAATCAACCCCCTCTCACCCATTACAAGTCCTATTGTTGGGACCTGAAATTCCACGAAGGAGTCAATTTTGCTTTTAACATATAGAGAATTAAAAAAAAAATCGAACTAAGGAGAAGAAATTTGGCGCCAGCCTGTTGTGAGTGCACAGATGAAAAGAGACAGTGATGTAAACTGAATTCCTTCAATTACCGTTGGAAACTAGATTTCTAAATGGAAACCAAGAAAAGCCTTAGGGAGAAACTGATTTGACTGGTAAAATTCATCCAAACTGATCTGCTCCCTCCAAAACTAGGTCAGACCCTTTTATAGTGCATTACTAAATTCCCCCCGACCTTTCTAGATTGACCCTTTAAGTTCTCCATATCAATAACTTCTCCATAACAACTACCCTCTAAAAAATCCCTTAGACTTCCCGCACACTATAATTACTTAATACTTGGTAAGCCCGACAAACAATACGAATCCTTTTCCTCTAGAGAACCCCTTAGACTTCCCACACATCAGAAATGGACAGTGTTCTTCTATGATCTGCAACCATAATAACAATATTTTTAGGGAAATGAAAAATAAACACCCTTTTCCTCTTCATACACACCCTGTTTAAACCTGTCCATTGTTTCCTTTAGATTTATTCAATCTGATGGCCAGAAATAAAGAGGGGTGTGTGAGAGCCTAAAAAGGGTGTTTGAAAATCAACTCCGTTTACTGCATCAATAGGGTCAGGCAAACCTTTTTCATCCTATTTTCCTTCCCTTCATCAGAGTAACATGTCACACTTTCTATCACTAACCAAGAGACGATCAGTTATTAAACTAGAGCTGTAAACTGCCAACCAAACGAAATGCTACTATGGGTATCACAGAGAAATAAGGCGGGCTCTAAATATTGTAGGATTTAGGGAAGTCTGAAGAAAGTAGCCTTATACTCACTTTTGGAAAGGTTGTCTTCCATTTCAAAACAGAGTAACTTAGCTTTGTGCCAAGGCACATCTCATGCTTCCGATGTAACTACTAGCATAAATCATACAAACTGCACACCTCAGTCAACCATTCATATGTATGTATGTATACACCATGTATAAAGTCGATTAGAAACACATCAAGTTCAACTCCTATATATTAACATTCTAAAATGGTGAAATACAAAAAAATAAATAAATAAATAAAACTTAAATTCAGCTCACCATGGAAATAAACAATGGGCTAAAATTTAAAGTTGCAATGCAAAAGCATATCACCTACACTGCTTACTTGAGAATGTACTGTTATGTGAAAAATGCGTGCTACATCAGTGATATCCAAAGCACTGGTTGCAATCTTAACTATGTCAGCTCCAGTGGCTTGTATTCTTGCAACAAGATTTCCAAGAGCCTCAACTGATGGAGTTTCTTGATAGTTGTGAGAAGAGACAATAACTTTAAACTTTTCAGGCTTCTTCCCATATATGGAATCAATGAATGCATGAGCAACCTTCAAAGAAAGTTAATAACATAAGAATAAGGGAATCATGATTAACCCTTGGGGTTAGTCCAAGTGGTGTGAGGGAGGATTCGGAAAGGGTTAGGATTAGAATAGGTCAAACGTTCAATATCTTTCAATAACCATAAAAAGAGGAAAAAAAAAACCTAATTCAGGTTTTACATTCTAGTATGACAAATTTAACATAGAAAAGGAAAGATAAATGATTTGTCCAATATGTTTGCGACGGTGGCAGTAGTAAGGATACATTGATTAGATTTGCAGCACAAAAGAATGTATTCACATGATTCTTGATTGATACTTCATTGCATTGCACAAGTTTAGAGTTGTTATACACATCTGGCAACCATAAGCAGCTCTTGAACAATTATTCGGCAGTTTGGACTAGGGAGGAATTAAAAAGAAAAAGGGAATAGAAAGGCCATAATAAGTTTCCTTACTATCTAGCATCTATGAAGGATGAAATGGATGAGATCATGTTACCCATCTTATGATTCCATAATGCCAAACAGAAAACACAGGAGAGAAACCTGAAGCTCAACATCAATGTAATCAGCTCCAAGCTCCATTGCTAATCGAAGTGCATCCAGTCGATATTTTTCATCGCCATCATACTGACCACCTTCCCACTTTGGTCTACAAAAGTACATAATATCAGTCTTATCAGATATTATTGCACTGGGAGATTTTTAGGGTCATAACAGTCCAAAAACTGTAAATAATGAGCAAAGCCACACTTAGATAAACCGAAAGATAATGCAGTGAAATTTAATGAGAAAATTTCTGTATCCATGTGAGTGATAAATCGTCATATGCAACCTTTGACTTAAACTCGTGTCTTCAGCATTATGAAAAGAGGAGGGGAAAACAAGCTTCGTTTATTATAGGTATCATTTCTTCTGTTTAATAAAATAATGTAAAATTCATCCCTATATCTTTACCAATATAACCAATTCAAATGAATCAAACCCTTAAAATAAGAGTATACCACAAACAAGCTGAATCATATAAGAAATTCATGGTAAAATACCTGTATGTGATAAGCGTCGGCAAAGGGGATTCTTTAATAAGGATCTTGAGATGTTCACTGCAATTGAAGCTTTTTAAATGATCCAATCTAATCTCCACAAGGTCAGCACCAAGGGCTTTGGCATTGCCCATATCAACCACCATCTTATCAACGGACTCCGCCATTATCGGAGCACAAATTAGGGTCGAACTCCTCCTCACATCATCAAATCCCACGCGCAGGCCCTCAGAAGCAAGCTGAACCCCAAAAACAATAAAAACAAAAACAAAAACAAAAAAAAATACAGAAATTAGACAAAATTCACACTATTGCAGGTAAAATTGCTTTGAATCTAATCTAAACAAGTTCAAGAATGTGCTTAGTTTAAAGACAAGAATGCTGAAAAATGCGAAAAAGGTTTGACAATCTGTAACCTTGTACGTTTTCCTATATATTTTCTTGGCAGCCAATCAGACTAACAGAATAAGTTACGGCAGAAACCAGACCATCCCAATTATTTCAAGTTTCACATCTTTTAGTTGCTGATAGAAATTACAGAAAATAAGAAAAATATACACCAATTTTTTGGGTTTTATATCTTCATTTGGTTAGTGCCGGCAGCCAAATGGAAGAGAAAATCAGAGGCGCAGTGCAGAGATAGTTGTAATTGCTGAGAGAATTTACTTACCAAAACGTCTTGGGGAGAATCCATCGTAGAGTTTGACGGCCGTCGGAGAGAGGCTGCTTCGGGTGTTCGCTGCGTTGCACCTCACAGTGGTTTGGTAGGAGTCTAAATAGGGATGAGTTTGGTAGGAATTTTTTGGTCTGGTAGGCGCGCTTCGTGCTATCGTATATTCTTTTTTTTTGTTTTTGTTTTTTTTTTTTTCTTTTTTTAAAGAGAAAAGAAAACCGCAAATATAATTTTTTTTGGTTTTTTAGAGAAAATTTTGACAATCGTCCCTTAATTAAAAATTTATGATCAATGGTCCTTTATCTCATCAAAACATGCAACTTTGGTCCTTTTCGTGAACTCCTTCAAAATTCTGTGAAAATGAGTCATGTTGGAATCACCATTACTACAATTGGGTTAAAGTTGAGAGACCATTGCTCCAATTGGGTTAAAGTTGAAGGATCATTTCTCCAATTAAGTTAAAGTTGAGGGACCATTTCTCCAATTTTTCTCATATTAACCCTTTGATTCAGCCTCATGTGCATAACATGTGACTCATTTTGATAGAAATTCTAACGGAATTGACAAAAAGGACCATAGCTACACATTTTGATGGGTTAAGGGACCAATAGTCATGGATTTTTAGTTGAAGGATCATAATCCAATTGGGTTAAAGTTAAGAGACAATTGCTACAATTTCCTCTTTTTTGTACAAGTGACATATTCCTTTTAAATGTCGGTTCTTTCTAGGGCTACCTGCATTGTAATCTATTCATTTGAACTTCATTTAATGAATGTTCTATATCTTATGACAAAAAAATAGCATTAGTGGGTTAAATTATTAAATGTTAAGAGGGTGGGATTGGTGAGAATCAAACCTGCACCAAGGTTCATAGACATTATTATTTCTGGCCGTTGCGGTAAAACGATATTAAAGTGGAGAGATTTTTCAATGTCTCTGAAACATGGGGCGGTACGCCATATTTCCTTATACAAGCAGAGAGATTTTTTTTTAAAATGTCCATCTATTTTTATAATGTCTTGTGCCTGTATTTCAGGCATTGAAAAATCTTAAGGTAACAATATTTTGTAGACCACATCTAAATAGTCTCACTAACCTTTTTCACAATATAATTAAATAAGGGAACTGTTATTGTTACTCTAAAAATTTAATTGTGTACTCCTCATAAATGCATTTTTCTATCTAATATAAAATGTTCAGAGATAAATCTCTTTTTTTTTTTTTTTTGAACAAACGATATTATCTATACTAAAGGGGAGAGGGATGAGCTAAGTCTCATAATGGACCAACAATAATATGGTTCAAATTCACTTTTGGAGATAATCAAACCTAAAACCTCTCACTTAAAAGTGAAAATAAATATCACCAGACCATAATATTAAGTAGCTAGATAAATCTCATCTAAATGAAGTACTTAACATACTAAGCTACTTGAGTTAGCTTAGTGACGAGGGTGGGTAAAGGAGATGGGTAAGAGTACCGTAGATTCAATGTTTAAAATCCTCTACTGTAAAATAAAGTTACTTAACATACTAATCTAAGAGAACATTTAAATAGCTGTAAGGATGAAGGTGATATGATGAGTTTACAATAGTGTTTGATTAGTTTGATAATCAAGATTTAGTTTTTTTTTTTTAATTATTTTTAAGAAACAATATAGTTTCCACAATGTTTTCATTTATACGTGAAAATTTCTCACACCCTTTAATATAAATATATTATTATATTAAAAAAAAACAATAATAGTTTGATTTTTTTTTAAAGATTTGGTGGGAAATAGATGGCACAAGTATTTTTGTCACCTAACATAGTAGACGGGAAATAGTCGGCAAAAACTTGGCGAAACCACATCCTTACAAGTACATATGAAAAAGTGGCGGAACCACATCCTTACGACCTGGCGAAACCAAATCCGACAAATTATGAGAATTAGCCCCCCACCACTAAACATTGTTTTTCTCTACCTCCATTTCTTTCCTTTGATCATTTCTACTTTCCATCTCTCATCTTTTTCTCTTTCTCAAATTTTCTCTTTGATAGCAGGTTTAGGTGAAGAAAATAGAATGTGAATAATGAAAATTGCACTCATTTCAAGTGATTTAAGTATTTACCAACACTCATAAACAACTGAGACACATTCCTAATCATGAATCACTTTGAAATTCCTGAAAATAGGTGGGAAAAGATCTTTTTAGTTGTTACATGTGTGTAGTTTCCCAAGCTTTGGGACTTCTCAAAGAGTCAAATTAGATTTGTAGTAATTCTTGTCCAATTGTAGAAGATCGAATTGATCCTGAACCGAAAATGTCTTACTAAATTCCGAATTGATTCCTTTCAGGATAGGATTCCAAAAACCGATCACACACCGAATTTTGGGATTTTTGGTATTTTGGTACGGTTCGGAATGGGATCCTGAGCAAGAAGAGGGTGAAGAAAAGTTAAAGTGCAAAAATCCTAAATAAAAGGTCCTGAGGTCTTGAAGAGCAAAAATATTCAGCATCGATTAAGATTTAACACCCAAATGCAAAAATCTAAGTAACTTTTTACTAAAGTTCAACACCCAAATGCAAAAATCTAAATTACTTAGGTTCATGCTCAGAAATTCAACGCCCAAATGCAATTTCATTCTGAAATTCTAAATAGCATAGATTCATGCTCAAAAATTCAACACCCAAATGCAATTTCGTTATGAAATTCTAAACAACTTAGATAGTTAGGTTCATGCTAAGAAATTCAACACCCAAATGCATATGCTCAGATTCATGTTCGAATCAAAACCCCAATCCGAAACAAAACCATAAGTTTTGAAACATATACCTTGATTTTGGGGCTCGAAAGTCACTAGATCGAAAAGGAGAGAGAGATGAGAGGCGGAGTTAAGAACTCGAGAGAAAGGGTATGGTATGGCGGCTGGAGTGAGATTGATAGGGTATGGTGTGGTGGCTAGAGTCGAGATTCGCAAAATGTGGGCAGAGGAAAAACTCAAGAGAAATGAGGGAGGGTTCGAGAATGACAAAATGTGAGAGACTAGGAGAGAGATTGTTTCGGTACATTTTAGGATTTTCGGTGTTTTTTTTCCATTCCTACCATTCCTCACCAATTTTTTGTAAGCTTCTGGCTACACAATTAAGTCTAAACTCCCTTTTCCAGAGAAACTAACTTACATCGGAGCTCGTGGCTTTGGTCTTTGACCAAAAGTGTTTAATTATTTTGTAGGTACAAATTCATTAGGATTAATGATGATTTTTGTTACTATAAATTGGTGCTCTGGTTGAGATCCTAATTTAATTCTCTTAGAAGGCTCTTACTCCTTTCGGAATTTCAACCACCTTGGTTTTCTCACAGCTCCTAGTTTTTGAATTTTTTCATAAAATTGTTTGATCCTAGACAAAAGATACAATGGCTGAAAATTTTGAAAACACGATAAATAGTGCGCTCTACGTACCTGGATATGGACCAAGAATAGAGGACACGATGTGGCCTCGCACCGCCATCCTCACGGTTGAATACCATGGCCAAACCATCGTGGACTACCACAACATCCACTGACGCAGCCCAAACCCAGGAGCAACCCCAAGAAACTGTAGCAGCAGAGGTTCACCTCTTAAAAGCCCAGACACAACAACTCTGCTTGCTGCTTAACAACCCTTGCATGCCTAGGCAGCGCCAGCCCAGCTCGCTGCCCAGCAGCCATTGCATGCTGATGTAGGAAAAAATTTTGATTATTTCAAACGCAATAAAATTAAGGGAGTTTTAACGAAAAGTCTACAGTACAGTTCACTTTAACGAAAAACCACATTTTTACACTAAAAAGTCAATCCTGGTACTATTCACTTTACCCTTTATTTTGTCCTTATCATTAAAACTCAAAGTTTTCAAGCCCTTTTCATTAGTTTTCCTTAAAATTAAAAGAAAGAAGTGGTGAACAATAAAGAAAAGTGATTGGAGAATTGGTAATTCACGTGTTAATAAATTATTTGCTATTGCCATCTCTTGAAAGTTGATATTTTGGACTTTCTAGGTTGTTTGGATCAACATTACTTTTATTTCTAATGTGTTTAGATGAACGTTACTTTTATTGTTTGTCTTTTGGGGTTTCAAGGGCTTTATTATTTGTCTTTTAGTTTCCGTCTTAATTACTTAAGTCTTTTGAGATGCCCAGGGGGTTGTAATTTGTTTATTTGAGCCAGTTGGCTTCTCATTTGTAAGCATCTTTCATCTTTCAATAAACCAATCAAATTATCCTTTGAAATTTCTATTAAATTGGTGAACTCTAGAATTTTAATCTTCAAGGATTTACCCTTCTAATCCCTACTAGCTTTGTGTTGCATCAATTGGTATTAGAGTAGGGATTTTCTCTGTTCTAATGACAATCGATCGTGGGAGAAGGTAACTTAAGCAACGTTGATCACAAGGTTGTTATGATAGATGCGGAGTACGCAGAGGGAGTTGCCCCAAGCCAACCTCATCTAGTTGATGTTGAAGGTATTCAAATTTTCTTAGGAAGTAATTGCATTGAAGGTTTTCTATTACGGATTTGAGGATGTAGAGAAACTTTTCAAGACACTACCAATTCCGGAAAGAGAGATGGTGAAGATGGTTGCTTCTTGTCTAGATAGCGATGTGTGTTAATGATGGATCAAATGCAAGAGTCTAGGTGACAACAAGGTAAATATCCTACCTAAACTTGGCGTTGGTTGAAGCATCTAGGTGTAAGCAATTCTTTCCCGATCTCTACAAATTCTATTTGGTAAGAACAGGTCAAACATTCATTAGAAAAGAAGCTACAATGATGGAGACTGAAATTTCATTTTGCCAAGAAACAGTAGAGATCATGGTGGACGAAAAAGAACAAAAAATTTTGCTTGTTGAGAATAATGTTGAAGAAGACCTCCTGGAACATAACAACTCACAAGTGGAGACTCAAGAAATTCAAGGTATGGGTGATTCTGAAATTGTTATCACTTTCGAGAATCATTGACACACCCTGACCGAAATCAAGGCGTGTTGGCCGTCATGTGAGGGTGACGTAGCCATGTGCACAATGCGGAAGCAATATTAATATAAGAAATGCGAATAAATAAAAACCAAACTAACTAGAGCACTAAATAAGAACAAGTGTAAGACGAAATAAGTGTGAATTCACAACTAGAGC